AAGGGACGATGAGGAAAGAGAAAGCGAGTGTGTGTGAACTAGCGTGGAAGGTGACTGAAGAGAGCGTGGGAAGTTATGAGACGTCACGTCGTCTGGCGTGGAAGGTGACTGAAGAGAGCATGGGAAGTTATGAGACGTCCCGTCGTCTCCAGTGCTTCCCCACGCGTGGCTCGAGCGAGCCTGGCTCAAGAAAAATAGTTGATTCGGCCGTTTTACTGGATGTAAGCTCGGAGCTGCTTCAAGTTTTATACGAGGCAGAAAACAGATGTAGCCCATGTAACTAAATAGGTTGATTTTATTCCACAAGGGCCTGGCTGAGGGCAACAAACTGTACCAAGCCCGACCGTGCGTACGGGGCTGCTGCGGGTTTGGTTGTAGATGCTCTTACAACTTTCCCTCCGCGCGCGAAAAAAAGCGAGTAATACTACACTTACGAAAGAACTTAACATAATGTTATGTGATCAGACAGTTGCAGATTTTGATTGGTGTTAAGACAAAAATGCTACACCTACATACACTTACGTTCCCACTTTACGTAAACTTCCTAACTAATCTCTTCACCCCCTGATTTCAACTGGGTGGGCCTCCCTCCTCTAATTTCGCCCAACAAAAAGATGCCACCTGGCCTATTACGTTAATTACGTAAGACTAATTAGGCTGGTTGTAATGGAAAGTATCATATACTAGTATCATGCATATGATACTAGTCTATGATACTACATTCCTAATGCATAGTATTATATATTAGTATCATGTAGTATTTTATTTATTGTCATGTATGACACAAAGTAACATAACATTTAATATAATACGGTATCATGATATGATATTACATCCTCTCTTTCTTCATTTAATGCTATGACACATCATTAAAATTGACTACTTGGCGTGCAAGATACTAACTATGATACTACCATTACGACCAGCCTTACATAGATTGCTGGTGTTAAGAGGAGGCAGGGACCACCCCCATTGAAAATCAGGTGGGCAGAGAATTAGGAAAGGAAGGTTTACGCACTCGCAGTCTCTTCGTAGTCCCTCGTAGGTGTAGGATTATTGAAAAGAGGGCAAAGAAGCCCAATTCATCAACAAGCAAATGCGCGCGGGCGCGGCCATGTCGGCGGACCCCCAGCTCCTTGCGGCGGCTGTGGAGGCCGCGATCGCCTCGCGCTCCCCACGGCTCGGCCGTGCCGCGCACGCGCGCGCGCTCAGGCTGCTATCGCCGGGCATCCCGCCCTTCATCTGCGCGCACCTTGTCAACCTCTATTCCAAGCTCGACCTCCCCGCGGCCGCCGCCTCCGCCCTCGCCTCCGACCCCAGCCCCACCGTCGTGTCATTCACGGCCTTCATCTCCGGCGCCGCGCAGCACGCGCGCCCGCTCCCCGCCCTCTCCGCCTTCGCCGCCATGCTCCGCCTCGGCCTCCGCCCCAACGACTTCACCTTCCCCTCCGCGTTCAAGGCCGCCGCCTCCGCGCCCCCTCGCTCCGCCGCCGGCCCGCAGATACACGCGCTCGCCATTAGGTTCGGCTACCTCCCCGCCGACGCCTTCGTCTCGTGCGCCGCGCTGGACATGTACTTCAAGACCGGCCGCCTCGGCCTGGCCCGCCGCCTGTTCGAGGAAATGCCTAACAGAAACGTGGTGGCGTGGAACGCGGTGATGACCAACGCCGTGCTCGCCGGCCGGCCCCTCGAGACGGTCCAAGCTTACTTTGGGCTCCGGGAGGCTGGTGGGATGCCGAATGTCGTCTCGGTCTGTGCGTTCTTCAACGCGTGCGCCGGGGCGATGCTCCTGTTGCCTGGGGCCCAATTCCATGGGTTCGTGGTGAAGTGCGGTTTTGACATGGATGTCTCGGTGTCGAATGCGATGGTTGATTTCTATGGGAAGTGCCGATGCGCGGAGAAGGCAAAGATGGTGTTTGATGCGATGAGAGTCAGGAACAGTGTATCATGGTGTTCCATGGTTGTTGCATATGCACAGAACGGGGCAGAGGAGGATGCTTTTGCTGTGTACCTGGGTGCGAGGAGGGCGGGGGAAGAGCCGACTGACTTCATGGTCTCCAGTGTGCTCACTACATGCGCAGGCCTGCTAGGCCTTGACCTTGGGCGTGCTCTGCATGCAGTTGCTGTTCGCTCTTGCATCGATGCAAACATCTTTGTTGCAAGTGCATTGGTTGACATGTATGGCAAGTGCGGGGGTGTTGAAGATGCTCACCATGTCTTTGTCGATATGCCACAGCGGAATCTTGTCACATGGAATGCGATGATTGGAGGGCATGCTAACATCGGTGATGCTATAAACGCACTTGCAGTGTTCAGTGATATGATAGCGAGTGGAGAGACAGCACCTAACTACATCACACTTGTAAATGTGATCACAGCCTGCAGTAGAGGAGGTTTGACCAAGGAAGGCTATGAGCTGTTTGAGACAATGAGGGAGAGGTTTGGGATAGAACCACGGACTGAGCACTATGCTTGCGTGGTTGACTTGCTTGGGCGTGCAGGAATGGAAGAGCGAGCTTATGAGATTATACAGAGGATGCCAATGAGACCTTCCATTTCTCTCTGGGGAGCACTACTTGGGGCATGCAAGATGCATGGGAAGACAGAGCTGGGAAGGATTGCAGCTGAGAAGTTGTTTGAACTTGACCCTCAGGACTCTGGCAATCACGTGCTGCTCTCAAACATGCTTGCATCAGCTGGCAGGTAAAATTAACTACCTTACTCATACTGAATTTCTCTTACGGGTTCGTGGTGATATTTACCCTTTGGGAAATACTGCCATATATCAATGCCTGAAAGAGTTCGCCTCAAAATTAACAATCCCACATATCAGTGTGAAGTGTCGTAACTTGTCAGTAGATCGCATGTATTCTTCATGGCATTAACTCTAGAACACATTGAACTATCTTTTCTTATCTCTTGGCCTATTCGAGCATCCACGATGTGTATGCATGCCGCTAAGCTCTCTCTGTCTCTATCTCCTCTTGGAGGCAGCCTCTATACACTGCAGACTGCTGCCTCTAACCAAAAAACGCTAGCATCGCCTCCTAGCTTGCAAGCTGCCATCATCAACTAAAATAACAGAGCTGGCCCTGTTCGGTTGCTGGGTGTGGACATCTGCAACGTTCTCATGTTAACCGAAGCACTATGTTTTGGAAATAACAAAACAATATTTTAATACCTTTTTAAACATTTCATGAGATATCTGCCAGATTATGACATTCTTTGGAACTTAATTTAGCCGTAGAATCAATGCATTAACACACAATTCATACTGTTGATTTTATGTGTCTTCTGAACTTGTCCAGGTGGGCAGAAGCAACTTATGTGAGGAAGGAGATGAAAGATGTCGGAATCAAGAAAGACCCAGGGTGTAGCTGGATCACTTGGAAAAATGGTGTGCATGTTTTCCATGCCAAGGACACCAAACATGAGATGAATAGCGAGATCCGGGCATTACTGGCCAAGCTTAAAAAACAAATGCAAGCTTCTGGGTACATGCCAGACACACAATATTCACTTTATGATCTTGAGGAAGAAGAGAAAGAATCAGAGGTGTTTCAACATAGTGAGAAGCTTGCCCTGGCCTATGGACTCATTCACATTCCGCCTGGTGTACCTATAAGGATCACAAAGAACTTGAGAATATGTGTGGATTGTCACCGAGCTTTCAAGTTTATATCTGGTATTGTTGATAGGGAGATAATTGTGAGGGACAATAATAGGTTTCATCACTTCAAACAATATGAATGTTCATGCAAGGATTACTGGTGAAAACTCTGTCCATGTGATACAGAAAAGGTATGCAACATCAGTTCCTGTAGGATAGTTGCATGAGATTATAAATTATTTCTCCAGAAGGATGATGTTTTAGCTCACTTCTTTATGTATTGTATATTACTCCCTTTGTTTGAACTTTCAAAGAAAATATAGAGATCAATTGAGGAATAGATCTCAGTGTTACTACAAATATCCAGCATAACTACAGTAGAAAACCCTCAAGTTACCAATGCATGTTTTTGTGTTACTATTATAGTTGCAGCATCGAGAGAACTACTTGGACAAATTCTTCAAACAGCAGGTAATTATTATGTTTCTTGTTCAAAAACAAGGACAAGCGCTCCTTTTCTCAATTTGAAAACTAATGTTCACCTATATTGGTGGTTCATTAAAAATGGCACCTACTGTATTAAAGGATGACATCAACTTTGTTGTGATTCCATTTTGTTGATCCACTTTTGTTGTCTGAATATGGTTGTGAAGTACCTCTCTCCCTTGCTTTATCTGATGAAAATGGCCTATAAATGAGTTTTTCTCTGATTTGGTTTACTGTAACTAATTTATGAAGCAGGAAGAAACAGCGGAGAAGATCAAGAGCTGGGTGAGGATGGCCACGAACAACCTCATCGGCTCCATCATCTCTGCCGACACCGACCTCGACCTCGTGCTTGTCCATGCAGTCTACTTCAAGGCCAAGTGGTGTGGTGCAGTATGTTCGAGACACATTGGATGAGGTTGGGCACGTTCGCTGGCTGGATGCCGCCGCGTTTGATGCACAGGTCATGTGGAAGCTCATGTATGACGCGCACCCATGAACGGGTTCAAGGTGCTGCGGCCGGCGAGGCTTCATCTGACGCGAACAACACACATCACACCCAAGACGGCAGCCGCCAACTGTTGGGCTGCCCAAATTCAAGGTAAACTTGAAATGGGACCTCCATCTGCTTGGGCTCACGCTACCGTTCTTGCCAGAGTCAGACGACCTGCCGAGCATGTGCCAATGTGCAAGGACCACGACAGGCAGCCGACATTCCTGAGAAAGAGGGTGCACCAAGCAGTCGTCAATGTGGACGAAGAAGGAACTGAGGCGGCCACGATCATATTTGGATCATACAATGTGCTGGGAAGACACCAAGCAATGAGTTCGTCTCCGACCATCCCTTCACTTTCTTCATGATGGAGTTGAGGGTGCTTGTGTTTGCCAGCAGGATCGAGATTTTAGAAACTTCAGGCATTGGCTATCTGCTTCTTTTACTTTTGCATCTAGCTGTCTCGATGTTTTCAGAACAATCAAGCAAAACCAGAATGCAAATATTTCAGTTCCATGTATTTTTACAATCAATCGTGGGATATGGTACTCCCTTCGTAAAGAAATATAAGAGCGTTTAGATAACTACTACTCCCTCCATCCCGAAAAACATGTCGTGGGCGTAGTTCATTGGTAATTTTGCAAAAAAAACCTCGTGGTTTCAAAAGCGTTTCAAACAAGTCCCTCCGCCCCGTCTTCTTCCTCTGCCCGTCGCCTGCCCATCGCCAGGGGCCGGCGCCGCCCAGCTGCGTGATTCGCCAGGGGCCGGCGAGCCCAGCTGAGCTCCTCCTCCGTAGCCAAGTACCTGCTCTCGCCGCCTTCGCCAATTACCTCCTCTGCCGCCGCAGCCCAGACCTGCGCCGCCGTGGTCTCCTCCTGCTGCCTGCGGGCTTCGCCGGAATCTCCTGCCACGTCTTCCTCGAGGCCGCGCGCTTCCCTCTTGGAGCCCCCGCGCATCCTCCTCAAGCTCGTGTGCGTCCACCCTCGTGCTCCCGCGCATTCTCCTGGAGCTCCCGCGTGTGCGCCGCCGCGATCCCCTACTGGCGTCGCGGGAACTTGCCTCCACAATCCGGTGGACCAGGAGCTCGCCGGTGGAGATCTGCCCGTGCTGCTGCTGCTGCTCCTTCTCCCCCGCCCGTGCTGCTGCTCCTCCTCTGACCCTGCCCGTGCTGCTTCTCCTCTGATCCTGCCCGTGCTGCTATTGCTGCTACTCCTCTGCACTCTGTAGAAGGTACAGTACTTACTCGTCAGAGTAGTGTTGATTTACTATTACTGATCAGAAAATTAAATAGAGCATGATTAATTCAGAGATCAGATGATGCTAATTCAGATGATGCCAATTCAGAGTGAAACTGTAAAATTCAGAGGATGCAAATTGTTGTAGCACTAGCAGCATTCATAAAACAGTCCAGGTTAAAACTTCGTAGCACTAGCAAATTCAGTTGATGCCAATTCAGGTTTGTAGCACTAGCAGCATTCATAAATCAGTCCAGGTTAAAACTTTGTAGCACTAGCAAATTCAGATGATGTCAATTCAGGTTTGTAGCACTAGCAGCATTCATAAAACAGTAGCCTCATTCCGTACATGTGAAACATGTTAAAACTTTCAAAATTGTCCAGTATCACCCGGTTAGCTGGTTAAAACCATCATCAGGTTTTGGACAACCATGGGACAAAGGGACAACTGGATTTGCGGTGCCATTGGGTACAAGGGCAGTTTGTTGAGGTGCCCGCGGAGTCGCCGATGCTCCGAGCAAGTCATCCAGCGGCTGAAAAGAAAGTACACACACTTATTAATTACTGTAATCGTAGCTGCTCGGGTGTTCGAGTAAATGGGTAGTATGGTTTTGTGCAGAGCAACTGTTGCCAGCCACAAGAAGAAGCCAATTAGACAAACTTCCATAGCTTATGATGTTGCTCTGTTTAACTGAAGCACTAAACTGACTAGAACTGCAGTACTAGCTTTGAGTGAAAAGAGAACAGTGGAGGTCATATATTATGTCAACAAAATAAATACAGAGGAGGTCGTACTGGGTGCCTAAATGAGCATTTAGCATTCGCACTGTTGCCATTGAACCAATACCAGCAACCCCTAAGGGTCTCCTTGTCACTACTGTTTTATTCATTACGATTCATGTTATCAAAAGTAAATACCAGTTTCATAGTGAATGCTAGCTCCAAAGTAACCAAGGCAATTAAGTTTAACTCTTAAAATACCCTACTGATGTCTATTTCTCACTACCAAGCTCTACTTAGGAAAACAATAAAAGCATAACAAGCCAAGTCAATAAAAGGGCAAAAATAACCGTGAATCTGCAAGTTGGAAGCCATGGCCTTGCAATTGCCATCAAGCAAGTGGATGAAGTGGCTTGCCCTGTTTTAAATGGAGGGTCACAAAACTCCTGGTCTTCACCTCCTGAATTATTTCTCTCTGGAAATAATTTTTCAAAGGATTTTCAATAAAGAGAAAAATAACAAAACTCTATCTAGAACATCTAGGTAGGTCAAATAAAACCCAAACTTGGAAATTAAATAAAAATAATAATGCAAAAAGAATCAATTGATTTGGACTTATAGTTTAGGAGATATTCATGGTCAAGGTTGGGATTCTCACTGTAAGTTGGTTATCTTGGTTTGCATGTACCCCTCATTAGGAACATGAGGAGTACTTGACCAAGAGTTGCTGCTGGTGGTTATTAGGAACATGGAGTACATGTATGGAAATGAATCATTTATGGAGTACTATGAAAACATGTGTTGTTGCAAATTTGAAGAAAAATGATGTTGTTGATCTTAGAATACTCTTTTTGTGTGTGTATATTCTTGTTATGGTACCATGGTGTACTCATCTTTTGTCATTGATGGCAGGAACACATGAATATGGATTTGAACTTGATGCCTCAAGAGGAAGAACATGAAACCATTGATTTGAACTTGATGCCTCAAGAGGAAGACGATGAAGGTATTAATTTGAATTGGATCCCTGAAAAGGAGGAACCTCAAGTGGCAGAGAATGTAGCTATGGATTTGAACTTGATGCCTCAAGAGGAAGACGATGAAGATATGAATTGGATGCCTCAAGAAGATGAAGGGAAAGAGGATGAAGCTCAAGAGGAAGAGGATGAAGTTATGAATTGGATACTTCAAGAGAAGAGAAGAGAATTGTCACATAAGGAGAGGCATGGTGTTTACTTTGCCTTGCTGGTAATCGAGCTCAGAGATGGGTCTGTTCAACCAGATGACAAGCTGCTAGTCTCAAACCTGTTAGACATAAGTGTACGATATGTTGAAAGAATCTGGGAAGAGGCTAAAAAGCAAATTGCCGATGGCAAAGAAGTAGATGTCTCAAGCAAGAAGCCAGGAAGATCTGGCCGAAAGAGAAAGGAGCTGGATCTAGAGAGGACCTCAACAATCCCACTGAATAAAAGAAGAACAATTCGATCTCTGGCACGGTCTCTAGGTGTGGCCCGATCGACCCTACATAAGAGGTTCCAGTTGAATGAGCTCAACCGCATCACAAGCACCGTGAAGCCTCACCTCAAGCTAGAGAACAAGCTTGCGAGATTGAAATTTTGTATGTCCATGGTCGATGAAAATTCGATCTCAACTTCTCGGGCTATGTTAAAACCAATGACGAATATGGTTCACATCGATGAGAAGTGGTTTGACATGACGAGAGTGAAGAATAGTTACTATGTACTTCCAGGAGAACCTGAACCGAAGCGCACCGTGTCAAACACTCACAACATTGGGAAGGTAATGTTCCTAACGGCTGTTGCCAGGCCTCGATATAACAATGAGGGGGAGCTAACATTCGATGGGAAGATCGGCATTTGGGCATTCGTCGAAGAGACTGAGGCGAAGCGGACAAGTCAGAACGGAAAAAAGGGAACAAAAGTGTTGACATCAGTGAAAGTAACCAGGCCAGTGTGCAGAGATTATCTAATCAATAAGGTTATCCCGGCAATTTAGGATAAGTGGCCTGACGATGATGAGGGAGCAACAATATTCATCCAACAGGATAACGCAAAGCCTCATGTCCTTCCCAATGATGTAGCTTTCCGAGAAGCTGTGGAACAAACTGATCTCGACATCCGATTGCTACAACAACCCCCAAATAGCCCTGAGTTAAATTGTTTGGACCTCTGCTTCCATAACTCTCTCCAGTCTCTAACTGACTGCAGGTCACCTACAAATATCCAGGAACTGGTACAGGGTGTGGAAGAGGAATTCGAGAACTACGATCCCGACAAGTTGCACAGAAGCTTTATCACATTAGAAGCAGTTATGTTTGAAGTTATGAAAGACAAGGGAGGAAATCAATATAAGTTGCCCCACTTGCACAAGGATCGCGTTCAGAATGCTGGAATGGAAATAACCGGTGTATATTGCGACAGTCGGGTAGTTGTTGATACTAGGGCCCTTATAGAAGAAATGGAAATTGCAATAGGAAAAGAAAATGAAAGGAAAGAATTAGCTAGAGAAGGGAAAATAAAGAAAAGTAAAGGGAAGGGAAGGGAAGAAGTGGCCAGAGAAAGGAAAAGAATGTAGTCAAAAGGGGGCAAAGAGGCCCTTATGTCATGTAGTCAGGTGCTCCTTATGTATGTCTTGTGTGTAATCTTGTGTCAAGAGGGGACAAAGATGCCCTTATGTCATGTCCTTATGTATACCTTGTCTAATCCTTGTATATCAACTCCTTGTTGGAATTTATTGGAATTATCTGGGTGATTTGGATTAATTGAATTATCTGGGTTATTTGAATTAATTTGGGTTATTTGGATTTATTTGAATGTTTTGAATTGATTTGCATTAATTTTAGTTATTTGAACTAATTTGGGTTAGTGGACTGAAAATTTTGCTTGACAACTACAACAACTAATGAGGCAAGCAAGGCCTTTGCTAATCCCATATCATCACTAGATGATATGGTCTATTTAGTTAAGAGGATGACAAGAAATAAAAGGACAGTGGATGACAAGAAATCGCTTCTATTTAGTTAAGAGGTCCATTTAATGCTATCAAGGACACTTCCAGTTTTTCTTTAGTTTCATCAAAGGTTCATCAATACAGATGCTAAAATCTAGCATATCTCATGGAATGGATCAGCTAAAAGCCTAAAATAAGAAGTCTAGATAGGAACACTTAAAGACCATCTCCAGAATAGTCACACAATAATTTGCAAGAAATAATACTGTCTATACTTTACTAAATAAAATGACTTACATAACAAACAGATATACGGTAAATAAACGAGCAGTGGAGCAATTGAAAAGATAGGTTATTGCTACCGTCAAATTTGTTTCAAACAGTTTTTTGTCAACTTGTGAGTAGGAAAATGGCTCCAGAAAATTCAGTTAACTGAGACTACAGTGAATATTCAGTTTTCTATCAATTTAAATGGATCCATCCAATATTTGTAGTCCAAGTTTAAATGGGCTGCAGTCATGTCCAAGTTTAACTGAATTGATGGAGTCGAGCCTTGAGTATATTTTAGCCTTCATTGCACGCAGGGATCAATATTTTAGTGGCTTTTGAATGAACAGTTGCATGATCAGAATTCTGAAGGGAAATATGCAGTGATGGTGCTTACACTGGCTGGACTGAAGAGTGTGCGGCCTAATCCATGGTACAGGCCCAAGACATCCTAAGCCTGAAAAGATGAGTTCACCGTCAGTCATTCAGTGAGACCCAAGAACACCACAAACTTCTCTTCACTCACTGAAGTACACTGTGTGTGTGGATTGATCATCAGATAAGCATATGCATTTTCTCATTACTGTTGATACTATTGCGGCATCACTGAAACAGTACTAAAGAACGGGTTAATGATTGAATTGTCACCTTGCGCTCGGGGTCGGCGTACAAGCTATCCACAGGAAATGGCAGTTGCAATGCAATCATCCCAGATAACTGTCAGCTCCATGCTCAGAAAAGAAGCAGAACAATTGCAAAGTGACATTGGGATGGTCTGATCAAACTGAATCTCATCAAGACAACCACATCTGCAAACAGTCTACCACCTCCTCCCTCAATTGGAACATTGCACGAACTCAACAAAGCCCACTTGGTTGCCGTTGGCATAGTCTTCTTGGAGTACTAGCAGAAGTGAAATTCAGTGGTACATCTCACATTCAGTGAAGTGGTTCAGAAACTAGTGGTTCAGTAAACATAGAGTAGTGGAGAAAATTCAGTAAACATGGAGTAAATTCAGTAAACATAGAGTAGAGAAGAGAGGTTCAGACCCAGGCAGTAGGACCTGGAGATGATCTGCAGTAGTGGAGAAAACATGTAGCCGCCACCGCTGCTGCCAAGTGAGCAGGCGCGACCCACTTGTGCCGTGGACAGCCCAGCCGCGGTGTCGCAGGCACGGGTCTTCCACCAGAGAAACAGCAAAGAAGACGCCGCCGCGATCGTATTCCTTGTGGAGCTATCGTCGTCGTCTTCCAGGCTCGCAAATCGACGGCCTTTAGCTTGCCGTCGTCGTTGGGCTCGTCGGCGTTTAGCTTGCTGCATCTCCTGTCGTCGTCGGGCTTGTCGGCCTCGTCGCCCTTTAGGTTGTTGGTGGTGGTCCGGATCCAGTGCCTCCGGGCTCGCCGATGCCGGTTCCGACGCAGCCGGAGCAGAGCACGGCGGTAGCTGGGGAAATCGAAGGTTTTTTTGAGGAAGGGGGAAGCTTGGGGAGGCAGGCGAGCGGCAGCTGCGGTGGCGGAGCAG